TTTAATTTATGAATTAGTGGTTGCAAACACTAGTTTGTGCTAAGTTGACTTAGGCTCTTCTTGAGAAAGAGAGCCCTAGTCTCCAAAATTGACTCAACAAGGAATTGGGATGGACTCAAGAGATTTGATAGTCCCAATTAAAGGGTTAAACCTCGAGAGAGTAATTACCCGACTTGAACCCTAGTTGCTTGGGCAAATGTGCATACCTAATTGGTCTCGAGAGAGTCAATTGGGCAAAACCACTCTTTCTACCGAGAGGTGTAGAGTGGGTAGTATCGAGCAACGGTTATAACATATTTCCCCAATCATGTCAATCGTGCCTTAGATGCAATTACCCGTCAATTAGCCACCTAGGTGAAGGTCACTACCCTAGTGCATTTTAAACCATTAGATACAACTTGTAGCAATTTTCTCTTAGTCTAATTTAGTTGCAATTATAATTTGTAGTTTGATCATAGTAGAATACAAAGAAAAACCAAAAATTAATAGAAGACCAATTAAGAACACATACGCAATCCTAAACTAGATAGATACTCGATTCCAATCCTAGCTCTCTGTGGATTCGATCCCGACCCAAAATTGGGTAAAAGCTATTGCAACCCTCTCTTGCTACTTATTAGTAGTGCGGAGTTGGCAGTGATCAGCCAGCACAATGGACAAGTTGCATTATTCATCACATGTCGTCTGGTCAAGTTATCACATGTTGGGAGCATGTTGTTCATCGTTCTCCACATAATGTTTTTTATCTTTGGTGGGGTTCGCAGCTGCCACAATGATTGCCAAAGTCGTCGGCGACTTGCCTCAATTTCATGTCCGACTTGATCATAAAGTCTCATGTAACCTCCACGGACTGTATACATACCCTTTGGATCAAACAACCACATCCATTTAGCCGGCTGTGAGGTCGAGCTTAGTGTTATTTTTTGTATTAGTTCAATCTCCTGTGCATTAAATATTGTCTCCAGCTTCCCTTCGCTCCATGTTCGAGTCTCCTCACATATTAATTCTGACACAACCATCTCCTCCATGCCATGATTGCACACACTTTGAATAACTTGCAATTGCTCGGATGGTAGCCATAGAGTATGGAATATTTTTGTTGTACGTCCATCTCCTATACGCCTAACACAGCCCCCTTGTAAGACCTGTAACCCCGCGCATAATGAGCGCCAAACATAACTAGGGTTATTTCCCACTGTTGCTGAAAGCAAATCTCCTGTAGGGAAGTATCGAGCTTTATATATTCGGCTCACTAGTGCCTCCGGTCGTGTCAACAAACTCCATGCTGATTTTGCTAGCATAGCCAAATTAAAATTTTGCACCTCTCGAAATCCCAATTCCCCGTCTTCTTTTCGTTTACATAGCCCTTTCCATGCCATCCATCTCATTCCCCCAGTATCACCACCTTTTCCACGCCACCAGAACCCATTCATTGCTTTCTCGATTGAGTCACAGGTGCTTGTTGGGAGAAGAAATAGCATCATAACATAATCTGGGATAGCTTGCACCACTGTTTTCAGTAGGATTTCCTTACCAGCTCTAGAGAGGTATTTTTTCTTCCAACTTTGCAATTTTTCCCAAACTTTATCTAATACATATTAGAAGATGTCCTCCTTTTTTCTACCCACAATGGATGGTAATCCGAGATATTTGCCGAGGGTAGCAATCTCTTTCACTCCAAGCGCATGTTTTACCGTAATCTTCATATCTTCCGATGTATTCCGACTAAAGTATAAATCGGATTTTTGCAAATTGACCTGTTGTCCAGAAGCCTTCTGATAGCTATCAAGGCAGTGTTTAATGATATTTGCCTCGCCAATCTCTGCCTAAAAAAAGTACAAGGCGTCGTCCGCAAAAAATAGGTGTTGAAACAGATGGTGCCCGAGGAGTCACCTTGATGCCATGAAGTAATCCTCGTCGATCATAAGTTCTAAGCATCGTAGAGAGCCCTTCCGCTACTACAAGGAATAGGTACGGAGACAATGGGTCACCTTGCCGTAAACCTCTACTTGGTATAAACTGTCCAAATATTGTACTCCCTTGAGAGAATTGATATCTAACAGTAGTAACCATATTCATTAACTTCACGACCCATTCTTCACAAAAACCCAATTTAATAGCATCTGCCATAAAAATTCCCATTCAACTCTATCATACGCCATGCTCATATCAGTTTTTAAAGCCACATATCCTTTTTTCCCCTGTGTTTTGCGTTTCAAGTAGTGCATCGTTTCAAAAGAAATCATTGCATTGTCCGAAATAAATCTTCCAGGGATGAAGGCACTTTGGACCTCCCTAATCGCCACATTCATAAACTTTCTCATTTGATTGGCCATGGTTTTGCATGCGATCCTGTCAATCACATTACATAAGGATATAGGGCGCAAATCTGTGTTGTTCTCAGGAATCTTCTTCTTTGGAATTAAGATAATATTAGTGAGGTTTCCTCCCGGAGTTGGCATATTGTGGTTAAGATCGCTAGGACTGCGTCACTAACATCTTTGCCCACGATAGACCAGAACGAGTGATAGAACCCCAGATTCAATCCGTCCGGTCCCGGTGCCTTATCAGGGTGCATATCGAAGGTTGCTGTCTTAACTTCCTCTCTAGTAAATGGCCTTTTAAGCTCGATATTATGTTCTTCCTTAACTCTACATTCAACCATCTCTAGGATCTCGTGCATACTCCCTTGATTGGACTAAAATAGATTCGTATAGAAGGTGACAATCAGATATTTGAGTCCGTTATCCCATCCAACCCATTGTCCATCATTATGCTTCAGTTGCACCGGTGAATTTTTCCTTCTCCTTACTGAAGCCATGTTATGAAAGTAGCATGTATTAAGATCACCATCGCGTAACCAGTGTTTCTTTGCACGTTGGCGCTAATACATATCTTGCTGCTTAGAAATCTGTATGTAAGCATCTTTAGCTGCACTATACAGTTGCGCATGCTCCGGGTAATTGCTATCTCTAAACTTATACATTTGATTCTTACATTGTTTTAGCTTAGTGCAGAATTGGTCTTTCTTATTTTTCTCCCCATTCCTTCAGAAAGTTTCCACAAATTGCAATGCGATTGCCAATTGGCTTTTCTCTGCCGCATGACCACGCCTCCAAAACTGCCTCTTCTATGTCAATCTCTTTGAGCCAAGCATTCTTGAATCTAAAAGGTGCGGGTGCATATCGAATAACACTCACCCCTAGTGATAAGAATAGAGCGGAGTGATCAGTATTTGCTGCCTCGAGATGATGGACCTGCGCCTTTGGAAATAGGAGGACCCACTGAGATGTGGTCAAAACACGATCTACTCGTTCACAAACCCAATTCCTTGTATTCCTGTGACGCTCCCAGGTGAAACGATTACCCGTAAATCCCAAGTCTCTTAGTTCACATTCCTCGATGACTTGCCGAAAGCCATCCACACGCCAAACTGGTTGCTGAATCCGTCCTATTTTATCTCCAAAAGAGAGGATATCATTAAAGATCCTCCAATACACCATGGTAGAGAAGAAGTATTCTTAAGTGTTCGCATGATATTCCATGATTGTCTTTGTTGGTGTGAACCAGGAAGACCATTGATAACTGTGATTTTAACACGTTTTATGCCCATACTTGCCTATGCTTTATGTATGAATTGTCATAAAATAGACCCAGAATGCTTACAAAGTGCGCTTGGTTGCATGTTTGAGCGACAAGATGACAAAAGTCAAAAATCGGCTCGAAACGGAGTGAAACCTGCTCAAATGTCAAAAATCATTGAAGTGGGGACAAGAGGACCTAGCGCGGACCGCATTGTTTTGCTGCGCGGCCGCGCTAGGAGATTCAGAGAGTATACATTTCAAGGGTTTCCATGTGCGGTCAGCGCTCCTTTCTACGCGGTCAGCGCTTGTGTCCACGCGGTCACGCTTCATTATTGTGCGGTCCGCGCCCATTAGCCTGCGCGGCCGCACTACCTCTTTGCGCGGTCCGCGTCCCCAGCTTCAGAAGTGAGTGATCGAAGGCCAAGACCCCTACGCGGCCGCGCTGCATTTCTACGCGGTCCGCGCCAGCCCCGCAGGGGTATTTTTGTCCAGTTTTTCTAGCCTAGTATAAATAGAATATTTTATTATTTCTAGGTTAAGTTTTAGATATCAGATAGCAGCAGCACTCGTGAGACTCAAGTTTTAGCCTATTTTGGGCATTTTCATCTTGTTTTATCGTGGATTTTTGTAGATTAACATTCTAGTTAATTTATATGTTGATTTTATCTACTACTTCTTCAATTTCTGTTGCTATTATGTCTAGCTAAACCCATTAGCTAGGGTTGTGGCTCAACCCTAGTGTGGGTAATTAATGGGTGTGATTGTTTAATGCTTGAATGATGTTGGGTGTTTGCTATTTGGGTTAATTTTATGATTTAACTAGGATTTGGTGGTTGCAAACACTAAGTCTAGCTTAGTGGGTCTTGACCCTTCTTGAGAAAGAGTGTCTATGACTCCAAAATTAACCCAACAAGGAATTGGGATGGACCCATGAGAATGGTAGTCCCAATTAACGGGTTAAACCTCGAGAGAGTAATTACCCAACTTGAACCATAAGTTGCTTGGGCTTTTTGGCCTACCCAATTGGTCTCGAGAGAGTCAATTAGGCAAAATCACTCTTTCCACCGAGAGGTGTGAGAGTGAGTGCAATCGTGCAACGGTTATAGCATA